CTTGGCGTGAGGCCAGTCACGTGATCATCGCCCCGCGGTGATCGTTACCTTCTGACGTGGTCGTCGGTTGGCGTTCAGCCCCGACTCCTTCATCAAGGGTGGAGTTCCTTTTGTTGCTTGTAACATTGCACAGCTCCCGCACCCAGGCCAACAGCTCCTTCGTACACCAAGATTGTTGGTGGCGAGCCATCGGAAGGCGTGCCTATGGTACCTGGTCCTTCGGACGGCAGGCATTACGGTGAACAATTCAGCCTCGCGCTACCTTTCCCAGTCAAAATCTTTGAGACTTCTTCCACGCAGATTTCCATTGCTGTCAGAGGATACATCACAGTCGGACCGTACACATTCAATGCATTTGCAGACGCGCTCTACGTCTATGGTCCTGGTTGGAATCAAGGTCTATTCTACCGTGTCGATGGCGCCATTGGCTCTCGTAAAATCCACTTCTCTTGGTTCACAGGCAGCTACTACTGGGGACACGAGCGCTTCCACATCACAGCCACTTTTGACGAAGCTAAGCCTGGTATCCTTGTCAGCAAGATTTTCGACACTTGGGGTCAAGTCAATCCTAGACGTACAATCTCTGTTGCTGGCAATGGCAAGAACATCCTCTTCGCTCAGTCTGGATCCACCAACGTGCACGAGGGCCAGGAGATTACCTTCGATACTACAGGTGCTGGGAGCGTGTCGGCCAAGGACTTTGATCGCATTGACTGTTGCAAGAAGACGGGATTCGAGTGGCATGTGTGCACAGAGGTTTAGGCTACAAAGCAGCATCTCACCCCACCTATCCATAGCTCGATCGAGCTTCATATTTCCTTGTGTACATCCCAGAACTCACCAGAACCGTGTCTAGTATACACACTCCAGTAATATAATATAATGTAATGACATTTGTGATCTATCATCGTGCTGTTTTCTTGTCGTGATCCTTCGTCTTCCGCTCGTGATCTGGTATATGCAATAGCTCGGTAGGGCCAGGCTGCAGATGGCAACACATAATGCAAGGAAACAACACGGAAAGAACCATATTAATCGAATTTCCAAAATCCAGACTACAATGAAATTTCTCCTGTGTTCGAGCGCGAAGACCAGAAGAAGGTGGGCTATGCCAGGAGAGACGGGAGCTGATTTCTATACCCAGATGTTGGAGGACCTAAGGATTCACGCTTTAAGCTAGCTGACCGGGATGTTGATCACCCGGGGATGTTGATCACTCACAAATCTCAGCACTCCCACACAAAACACGTGTTATCTCTCCACGTACTCAACCAAAATGGGCGACCGTGAAGCAGCT